AAGAATCAAATATGGAGTCTTGACTCCTCTTCAAAGTGGGCAGAAGATTCTTGCCCAGTAAGGTGAAATGACTTTCACCCAGTCAGTATTGTAAATAATGTAGAAAAACATCACACAACTCTTGGATTTAGTTTGCCCTTAGAGGACTTTTCTGTTTCAATGGAGAGAGAAGCATTACAGGAAAAAACAATTAAATATTGATTTATTTCAAACTTTCTACCCACTGAAAGGATCTGTGATGAGTGAGAATTAAACACTTGGGATAACAGTTTTAGTAGAACAGGGTAAATTCATTTATGGCATATTTGGGAAGAATCAGGAAATTTGATAAGTATCTTAACTGGGCATTAAAAGATTTTTAAAATATGGAAGGGCACACACATGGTATTTTGGGTAGAAAAATGCATATTAAAAAAGCTTGCCAATTTATTAAAGGTTCTATAATCTGGGTAATTCAGTCTCAGTTAAAAATAAAACTAAACAATACATATGTATTCAGTGGATTGTACAGTTAGGTATAGAACAAGTAGTCCTTGCCTCCTAAGTTCTTGCCTTGATAGTCCTTGCCTTCTAAGAAATTCTATTCTTTGTCCCTGTATATATCACATAATTAAGCAATAACACATGATGTGAAAATATGTCCTAATGGTACAGTTAAAAAGTGCTGGGTGAGTGATTGGGAAAAATAGACAGGGCTCCATGGAGACTAAGGGGGATGTTGTTGGCTGGATGGGAAAGTCCAAGCACTCCATTTGGGTACTCTGTACTCTGATAGAGTAGCAAGCTTGGAAAGTTGCCTTCCTGGTGAAAATTATGGTTTCACACAGAAATACATATATAATTTACCACTTCTACATAGTTATCTCCAAAAATGAAATTACTGCTGTCATCATTCTATATTATACATCATACAGTAAATTCTACTTTCAGTCATAAAAGGAACAAGGATAAACTTTCAAGTAGAAAAAAAGAAAGAAAGAAAGAAAGAAAAGGAAAAGAAGGTAACAGAGAAGATGATTGGGTAAATATTCTCAAAAGCCAAAGGGATTTATTATGCCTTTTCATAGCTGGAGCTAGCTATGTTACATACTTATGATAATAAAATACATAAAAATAATGCACAACTATATAGCCCAGCTTAATTTGAAGTAGCAGAGGAATTTAAGTATTTTTATGGGTTGCTATGGTGGGATATTTTCTTCATTGAATCTGGCTTAGAAGAAATTTGGAATATTACGACAGTAGGTCAGGAACATGAGTGTATTTGAATTGGCTCTGCCAACTCTATTCTACGTTACTGTGTCTCTTGTTGACCCAGTTGACTTAATAGCATTTATTTCCTTACCTTCAGTGGTGGGTCATGTGTGGCAGTGAAACTCTGTAACTTTCTCCATCAGGACTTGATACTCTTGGGCTGCGTCTAAGCTGCCACCTTGATTGCTAAACCTATGTATAAGGTACAGTAATTTAAGCCACTTCCATGTCTAGTCTGTCGCAAGTTTAGCAACTTGTGCCTCCTCTCTCTGGAGAGGAATGCTCCTCTTAGAAATAGCCACTGTGCTACAAGAAGCTCAAGTCACTTGGTGAGCCCACATATTGGTGCACCATTTGATACCCCCAACCAAACTCCTAGCTGACATATGGCTTCAGCTGCCACTCATACGTGTCAGCTATCTTGGATGGTTCAGCCAGATTACACGTTCAGTTGATTGCAGCCCCAGCTGGCACTAGTGGAGCAGAAGAACCACTCAGTTGAAGCTGAAGAGCCTACAGCATAGTGAGACATTATGTAATGGCTGTTGTTTTAAGCTGTTTGCGGGCGCAGTTTGTTTCACAGCGACACATAATTGAAATAGCTTCCCCAAAAGACTCCTGGAACTGGTACTATGGAAGAGCTCATTCAATTTAAACATGATATTTAAATGGCCTATGTTTAATCTTTACAACTAACTTCTGAAAATCACTAGGCAAAAGTTTAGGAGACTATTATTTTAGGAACTGAGCACTTTTAAATTTGTTAACTATATTCAGATGATAATCCCCATATCATTGTTGTACTTTCTGGTTCTCTTATTCTCACTGAACTAATATGTAATATATATAGTGTGTTCTTTTGTTTTAAAGAGAAAAGCTTTAGCTGAAGTAGCATGAGTCAGGCCTTCTTCAAATCTTGGCTCTGTCATTTAGTCTGACTCTCAAAGTAATATGGACTACTTAGAATTAGTAAGGATCAGAAATAATGTAGCTTTTATTGTTATAAAGAAGTGGTAATATAAGATTTTAAAGGTAGTAAAACTTTTGTCTCTTTTCAAGGTTTTAAAGAGGACATGCAAATATGGGTGTTCTTGGGTTTTATTAGGGTGAGACTTAATGAGTTAAAATCGTACATCCTTGCAGTTCTTCCTACAAAAACACGTTTCAACCAAAGGAAAGTCTGGCCTGTAGCCCTTCACTTGCTGCCCTTCTTCACACCTTTATTGCTATAGTGGATTAGATGAAGGGGTCATGGTAACTTCTGGCTCCTAGCCCCTTGGTAGAAGTAATGGAGAATTTTTTTGTTCTTCATCTCCTGTCTCCTTCTTATCTCCAGTTACATTCATCTTCCAATTTTATGGGAAAAAACAATTTTATAGGATGCTGGCTCTCTGCAAGGTGATCTGAGCACCAAGGTGCCACAGAGTTCATGAAATTCATTTCCAGAGTCAAACATGCATAACCCAAAGCCTGGTTGGCACAGTCCTTGGCAAAGAACAATTGTGGCAGTTATAGGATTCTATGATGTTTTATACTAGACTTCATAAACACATTGTTTTTTTTCATGTGTGTGTTGAATATTTTTAATAAGACAACCACAGAAGTCTCCACTGACTTTTATTTTTGTCTGATGAATGTTTGCTCGTGATGGTCAAAGTGAGGAGAGTGATTGCTGTTAATCTAAGTTAAGAACCATTTTTCTCAAGTATGGGGGTTACTGTTCTTAGTATCTTCTACTTTTTGGACTTCTGGATACCTAAACCCCATTTAGGTCTTTGAAATTCAGGTGACCTAGGCCATGTGATTTGCCAGTGTATTAGACTTGAGAGTGGAGGGTAGGTTTGAAGCATTAAGTGCTATATACTTAAACTGGATGGTCTTTGAAGAAATATTCTAATTTAACATACACCTCTACTTGCATAAACCATTTTAAGTATTTACATATCGACAATTAAGATTAAAAAACATGCTATACTCCCATAGAGATTTTTTACACTGTGAAATTTCGTGTCCATCATGGAATCATTGTTAAGACAGCTTTCACTGCTTTAAATTCAAATAAGTAAAACTAAAAAGTATGTATAGGAATTATTTTAAACTACTGGTATGCAGATGCAGGTTATATAGAGATAAAGTTAAGGATATTTTGCCCATAAGCTTTTATAGTCATGGTAACAATTATGTAAATTAGTTCAGGCTTTTGTTGTTATTAGTGATAGTACTGGAAACAACAGTTTATGATTTCAATACCCCTTAAATCATTTATAATTATAGAGTAATTTCATCTTGAAGGAAAAATAGTATTCTTAGGTCCTACTATTTGAAGCTTAAGCATATTTCAAAACAGTGGAGATTATGCTGTACAATTATAATGTGCTTCAGGCAGGTTTTCTCTGGACTTGAGCTCTGAATTTTTGAGCTTCTGGGACTCGTGTGATGGATATATAGTGCAGATTTAGGGATAGTTTTAAAGACTTATTGACAGAGGAAAACAGAATGGTTCCTTTGAAGCCGTCTGGATGTCCAGTACAGTGAAATGTGGATTAAAGGTTCAGATACATACAGTGTGCACCGAGATGCAACACAATGTTCCAAGGAGCCAGTGCTCTCTGTTAGGGACACTGTGTTTCTCCCAGTCTTTAATGACTGCTGTTTTAGAAGAAAAAAAATTCAGCATGGAAATTATCTGTAAGGTATAGCTACTGAAACCTAATTCAAAAGGCGTGCTCTTACAGAAAACTCTTCTTAATGCTTTCAGTGTGGTTAGTGCTGAAGACATCGTATATATTACGGCCTGCAGGGAATTCAGACCTCTGCAGTATGGAGTCACAATGAAGGCTAATTTAAAAATAGAAAGTAGCCCTTGCTCCTTCATAGCTCTATTACTTAGGGTTTCTTATTAGCTTGGCATTAGTCTGGTCTGCTGTGGTGGGACAAGAAGTGGAAATGTAAAGAAAGACTTGTGGGGTCTTTTTCACCCCCTTCCTCCACAGTCAGCATTTCACGCTGGGCTTTGGGGAGTCCTACAGTCTGGGGTAGGGGCAGAGCTGTCCATGGTTAGAAATGATGTTCAAACTGTTGGTTGAAAAATCAGGTAACGGCAGTCCTGTTGGTGAACAAAACTTGTTAGAGGGGTAGGGAAGGAATGCCATCTCCAGCAGCAGGCAGGAAGGAATTGCTGTTCAAAAGCTTACCTCTCTAGGGAGGCATCAGATATCAGACTTTGTGAAGCCTCAGGTCCAACCCATAAGATCCCACCTACACCCCCGCCCCAGCCCAGCTTTGTTAGATTGCTGGCATTAATCGCCAGCTTTTTCTGACCGGGCAGTGGGTGAAGGAAGGAGAGGCGGCAAGACTGAAAGCAAGCAAGATTGGGGGGTGGGGGGTGCAGGACTGGGGCTGCTTTAGCATAGAAAGGAAAGGAAAAAACAAGGGGTGGGGGGGCATGTGGATCAGGGTTAACTGGTGCCTGCCTGCACGTCTTTGATTTGATGGCCTTTATTCTTTCTCATTGGATAAAATAGGAAGTCACTGACAGTCCTGTATTGCTGGGTGCAGAGTACTGATTTTACTCAGCCCAGCAGCAGCTTAGAGTGGGGATAGAGGGGGCCGAGGGAGAAGGAGATGCGTCTGGGATGAGGCAGGCAGAGAGGAGAGAGACAGACACTGAAGAAGGAAGCCGGCAGAGGAAGAAAGTGACTTGAGCGCTCCAGAAGGACAAAGAGGAGTGGTTGGGGGTGGGGTGGAGGCAGGGCGGGGAAGGGAGTCACTGCCCCGCCCGCCGCACACTTGCACGGCCCGCCTGTGATGGTCCCTTTGCAGTGATGCTCCGAGGGCAGGCACCTGCTGCTCTGTAATGATTCAGCCCCTTTCGGCCACCGCGTTAACACAACAGGATGCTGTTGCTACTGTCACTGCTGCCTCTCCTGCCGCCACCGCTGCTCCCGCCGCTGCCGCTGGTCCTGCTTTTGCTTTTACTTCTCCTGCATGACAGTTGTTTTCTTCATCTGAGGAGACACCAGCTTCAGATGCTCGAGGTGAAAACCATGCCTTTCAGTTTGGGCTACTGGTTTACTTAATGAACCAGCAGTCTCGGCTCCGTTTTGATTTTGGATCCTGTCCTCTTGACCGGTCGGGATGGTTTGGAGAAGCCTTTAAAAGAACTGGAAAAGTGGTCCAAAAACGACAGCTAAAGAATTATTGTAATATACTTTTATTTTGTAGTTGCTGGGAGCTTTTTGTTTTTCTTTTTTTCTTGATTTTCTTCTTCCTCTTGAACTCCCCTTGCTTTTCATAATGGCCTTGGACTTGGACGACTTATCGATTTCCTTCTGGAAGATGCTGTATCATTTGCTTGGGGGGGGCCCTGCATGGTAATGGACTGTGAGAGAGGCCAGGCCTTCTGGAGGTGAGCCGATGGAGATTTATTCCCCAGACATGTCTGAGGGAGCTGCTGAGAGGTCCTCCAGCCCCTCCACTCAGCTGAGTGCAGACCCATCTCTCGATGGACTTCCGGCAGCTGAAGACATGCCAGAGACCCAGACTGAAGACGGGAGCCCCCCTGGACTCGTGGGCCTGGCCGTGCCCTGCTGTGTGTACCTGGAGGCAGAGCGCCTGAGAGGCTGCCTCAACTCGGAGAAAATCTGCATTGTCCCCATTCTGGCTTGCCTGGTCAGCCTCTGCCTCTGCATTGCTGGCCTCAAGTGGGTATTTGTGGACAAGATATTTGAGTACGACTCTCCTACTCACCTTGACCCTGGAGGGTTAGGCCAGGACCCTATTATTTCTTTGGATCCAACTGCTGCCTCAGCTGTGTGGGTATCGTCTGAGGCATACACTTTACCTGTCTCTAGAGCTCAATCTGAAACTGAGGTTCAAGTTACAGTGCAAGTTGATAAGGCTGCTGTATCCTCTGAACCTGCAGCTGCACCGACCCCGAAGAATCATATTTTTGCCTTTTCTTTCCTGCCATCCACTGCACCATTTTTCCCTTCACCCACTCGGATCCCTGAGGTGAGAACACCCAAGTCAGCAACTCAGCCACAAACAACAGAAACTAATCTCCAAACTGCTCCTAAACTTTGTAAGTAGAGAGAGACGATGCTGAATAAATGAAAAGGGTGGGCTTAAGCTCCCAAAAGGTGTTTTCTAGATTACAGAGCTGCTTTCTCTCTTGCATTGTAATTACATGGTTTTATTTGAGCAAATCATGTGACTGAAATGCTTGGGGTGGCATTGAAGAGACAAGTAAAAAAGAAATCCTGTAAACTACTCATTTGAAGCTGTCTTCTAGTAGCAGCTCCCTCTAGCTGTATTGTTAAATCAGGGTTTGGGGATCCAAAACTTCAGCATCTGCAAGTCATGCTTGAATTTAAGTTAAATCCATCTCTTACATTTTTAGAAATTAAAACATCAGATCATCCTTATTTATTGTAGGAATGTGATATCCATATACCAATAAGTATTATTTGCTGTCCTTTTTTCGGTGATTGTAGACAGTCTATGGCCTTTTAGTTACCCTCCTTCTCCCAGCAGCCCAACATGCCTGTTATCTTTCTTCACCTCTTTGCTCTGCCCCCCTTCCCCAACCTTTGTATTTTCAATATTTCTTCCTAGCAGTGCAGCAAGCATTAAGACATTTACAATGCTCGCTTCTCCTATTCCTGTCCTGTCCTGATTGTACTTTCAGTGACTCAACCCTTGTGATAGCCAGTTTATTTTGTTTAAGGCGTATCACAATTCTGCATGAAGGAATTTTCCCAAATTAGTTTTGTATTCTATAATCAAATGTTTAAGTAGCTTCCTCAGCAGTCATTAAAATGCATAAGGTCTAGTAGTAAGTTATATCTTTTTTTTTTTTCAGACATGTCATTTTATCGGGTCAGGTTGTAGCAGCCTGGTTTAATAACCTGAGAGTGAACAGTCTCCATGCTCTTAAAACAGTACTGGGCAGTACCTTGCCGTTTGCACTGGGTCGTTGCAATAGCTTCATAATGGAAAGTTGACAGGGATGAAACCACGATCCGCTATATTGTTCCCAACTGCACTGTATGAGAATAGTTTTTATAGCTTTCTTTAAAAAATGTTTTTAGTTTGTTTTTTTGTATCTCCCATCACTTTTTATCATTGATAAAAGCAAAAAAAAGTAAAAGATCAGAGAATTTGGTTCTTAATAACGTGTTTGAAATCTCTTAGAGGTAAAGGAGTTGAAGGTAGAGCATTGGTGATGAAATACTGCTTCCATTTTCCCTGTAGATCACAGTGAAGAATAGAGAATACCTCCTCCAGGCATTAAGCTTGAAGTAGCCACTGTGGTATGGAAACACGGAAAAATTTGACAGGGACTTGTGATTGACCATTTTCACATGCACCAGCTTCAGTGCCAAAGGTTAAAAAAGAGGTTGGTTTCTTCCAGGTGTAAATAGAAAAACCTCCTTTCTTATACACTCCTTTGTATCTTTATCAAATCCCCAAAGCATCATTAAAGATCTGACAGACATCGCTGCATTCACTGCCTCTTCCCACCTGGCAGAGTGACCGGAAAGTAATACCCAGATGAAATGACAGGCTATAAAAAGCAAGGGTAGAGCCTGCAAAGTGCAGCAAAAATCACTATAAAGACAAGGTTACTTCTTTATCATTTGAAACTTAAATCTTTACAGAAAATATGCCTGGATTGAGTTGAGTTGCCCAGAAAAAGAAAGATGGCTCTTTAAAAAACCTCTTCAACTAAATTCTATTATTTTTGTCCTCTGATGAAATCAAACAAAGAAACATGCAGCACATTTTCCTGATCTAGGACTCTCTTAGGAAGTACTTGTCAAGTTTTGAGAAATTGTTTTTAAGGGAAATTCTTCTACTAAATGTTCTAATAGAGTACACATTTGATACAGTTTTTTTCTTTCTTTTTTTTCTAAGCCAGGATGTTGATTTTTGTGGCATTTTCAATAAGTAGGAAAGATTTACTGCTGCCTAAAAGCATTGCAGTTGCCGATGCAGAGCTGTAGAATTCTGAAGTGCATCGAAGATAAGCAGACTGGGAAGGAGTTTTCTCTGAAAAGTTGGAGGTACACAGATGGCTAACATTTTGAAGTCCCACATAGTTTTTTGTGTGGAAAACTGTTAATTTTTCAGAGTAGTACCTAAAAAAAAGAATCTAAAAGGGCAAGTAAAATTTTTGTTTTTGTTTTTGTTTGGGGTGGGTGTCCAGGCACTTCTATTTTTAGACTTATTTGGTTGTTTTTATTGTTTAAAAAGGTTATAACTGTTAAATAAAATAAAGCAAAAGAAAGCTTTGCAATGAGATTGTCATTTTGCTACCTCTTGCATTCTTTTCAAATGTGAAAGAATTGTTTAGTTGCAGAAAGCAGTGGGATGTTCTTTTCATCGTGCATGTCTTTGACATAAAGTAAGCTTGTCATAACTGTAGTTTTAAATGGCATTATCATATCTGAAACATGCTCTGCAGTGGTTTCAGGATTTTATTCTCCCTTTTGCATTTTCCTTCTGTCTCAGCATATTCAGTATATTATGCACAGAGCTGCAGCCTTCAAGGTCATAGACTGTTGAGGGCTAATTGATTCTTCTTTATCCTGGAGTCTGAGAGTAGGAGAGCAACATTCCCAGTAATTGCATCTGCTTTTAGTCCCCAAACCAATCTACCTCCTCCTACTAGGATTTTATTTTAGAAATACTAGAATTACTCTCTTCCTCAATGACTCTTGTCAAATTATAACATTCTTTGTCTTTATTTTAATGGTGAAATGTAGCACTATAAATTGCCTATAGGTATGATTTTTTATAAAATGGGTATTTCTGTCATAATGTAATATAATTCCATGGTTTCACCATATTAATCTGTGCATACTCACAGTTATCAAGAAATGTAATACTGGAATTAATCTATATTCTGAAATTGTTCTATGTGTAGTTAATGGTTTCCCAACCTGACAATGATTATATTGCTATGATATGAATGAAGTTTTGGGTTTCCATTGAATTCGTAATATTTGAACCATCAATTTGTTTTTTGGTGTTTTTGATTTTGTTCTTTTTGAGATCCTGAGGATCAAACCCAGAGCTTTGCATGCGCTGGGCAAGAAGTACTGTGCCACTGAGCAGTAGCCCCAGCCTGGGCCATTAATTTGTTTTCTCTGCATTGGCTTTAAAATTTTTTCCTATCCTCTTATATGTAAAAGACTAACTTTGGGGAGATTACAAACTTAAGATTACCATTTAAAAAACCCCTATTAATTAGACTCTTGTCAGGATATTATGGTATCATCTTAAAAGAAAGTGTTTTCTAGACAAAGAACCCTGCTTGACAACAGACTCTTGGATACAAGAAGATATTGGTATTTTCATCTTAGGCCAAATGTGCTTGCTTTGTCTTAAATCTTTTTGTTGGGTTGCATGGCAAACCACTGTTAACCACGGTGACATATGAATCACTACCATCTGCAAAAGATCAACATCTTTTGCATCGAATGTACCAAATAATTTCTTCCCTTGCATTGGCAAGTGGCACTCATTTTAATTCCAGTGGGTCCTTCTCTTCATTTGTCATGACTGTGCTTGAAGGTATTTCAAGAGTTTTTTCAAATAACTTGTCTCCAGTTTAATTATACTTATTTAAAGCAGTAACATTGAAAACAGGAAAGAACTGAACATTCTCTAATTTAGATCAAATAACTGAAATGATTAGTGAAACTGTTTTACTAAAATTCACTGAACTGAACAATTTAAGAAATCTAACAGAAACTAATAGAAACTAGAATAGTATCCTATCTCTCGGAATTTAAATAACACATACAGAGCTGTCATCTCTTGTCATTTCAGCTCTGTTCTAGAGTTAAAGCTGGACATGCTAGTGGTTTAAAGGCCCTCTTAGGGACCACTGATGAAGCGTGTGTAGTTCATATCAGCAAAATTAGATTTTTTCGCCTTCCTGTTTTGTTCTTATTCAATTTCAGTACTGGTGTTCTTTCTCTTTTTTTATTTGATCATCTGTGCAGCATTCAACTTGCTTTTTAAAACAGCTTGGGTTGCCCAGGGTTAGCTGTTCCGTAATGTACAGCAGATGGCTGTGTGGCTCACCTCTTCCTTCCCTACCCATCCTGCTTTGGTTTTTCCTCCTTGTTCCTTAGTGATGTCCAGATCTGTCTTCATCTTCTCTCAGCTCATCTTTCCAATTATATTTTCAATTTTTCTCATTGTTTAAATTATGCCATTCTGGATTTATATATTAATATAAAGACACCAAAGTATCTTTATGTGTCTTCTCAAATGTAGTTTTATTTAAAGTGATTGGTATTTATATATATTTACAAACATATATACAAAAAATAGCTTTTGCCAGTAAGAAGTATACCAGTTCCTTCATTTAAACTTTTTTTTCCCTGTACTGGAGATTGACTCCACGACCTTTTGGACTAAGCCACATCCCCAGCCTTTTTATTTTTTTGAGACAAGGTCTCACTGATTTGCCCAGGTTGGCCTTAATCTTGCGACCTTCCTACCTCAGCCTCCATAGTAGCTTGGATTACAGGGCTATGCTCCTGCTCACAGCTTGATTGAGCTTTTGTTCCTGTTCTTGTTTCATGCTTGGCTTTTGTACATTCTCAGAAAATCATTATGTCCCAAACTATGTCTTTGTTCTTCCTCCTTCCCTTTTCCTCTTAATAATGCCACATAATATCCTTTGAATATATGAAGAAAGAGATATTTTATAGATCAGATCATCAAAGCAGGAAAAAATATGGCTTGTCTAGAAACTCCTAGGCACCAGGACTATAATTCTTGTCTACTGAGTCCATTGAACTTCTGCTAAGCCATAAACTGTACCATGGCTACTTTTATGCTTATGTTTCCAATTTTTAAAATTATTTTTGTAACATCTCATGGTTTCAGTTTTCTCCCATTGTTCCTTTTGTCCTATTCAGCAAATGCATACCAAATGCCTCCTGTATGCCAGGCACTGTTCTAGACTACACAGTATAGACAATTGCCTTTGTGGGGCTTATGTTCTAGTGAATTTTAAGAATCTAGTTGTATAACTCAATTTGAGTTAATTTTTACTTCTTA